GCTGTTGCCAGATAAGGCTGGCTCGGGAGGCAGGACCAGAGGTGGCTGGGAAGGACAGGGAGGAAATGATAGTTTGCCCCTTCTCTTCTCACTGTTGCGTGATAAAAGCCTAAGTTATCCTTCCCGGAGGCATTTGTGTGTTTAGACTGTGAAAGCATGTGGCATTCAGGACCCAGAGGGAGGATGGGATTTTTGGCACCTGGGACGATAATGGAAGAGCCGATCTGGGGGAAGCAATAAGTAACTTATTGCCACCCCTGAAATCAAATCAGCTCACAAAGCCATCCTGTCAGGGCGGGTCATACTATTAACATCAGGAGGCAACTTAGAACCCCAGTTCTGCTGACCGAACTGGATTTGGGGTGGGTGGGGGAGCCTGGGAGGCTGAGGAGGTGAGAAGGCTGCCCCTTTCCCAGCAGCCTTTAGGAATGATTCACAGAGTGAAGGTCTCACCTCTTCCCTTCCTGCCCACAGTTCGCAGCATTTGTAAGATCCTAGCTATGAAAGCTGTCCGCAACAATCGCCTGGGCTCTGCCCTCTCTTGGAGCATTCGAGCCAAAGATGCCGCCTTTGCCACGCTGGTGTCAGACAGGTGGGTTCAGCCAGTGTCCACTTCCGGGAACTGTCTGGGGAATTGGGAGGCCGAGGAGTGCTTTTCTGATCTCGGGTCTGGCCTTGCAGGTTCCTTATGGATTACTGTGAGCGAGGCTGCTTTTCTGACCTAGATCTCATTGACAACTTGGGGCCGGCCATGATGCTCAGCGACCGACTGACATTCTTGGGTGAGTCTCTTGGGCTCTTTCCCTTGGACAGTTGGCACCAATGGACACTTGTGAAGATGGGATGTTCTGTTCAAGATTTCTCCAGTGTTACCTTTCTGTTAAGCCCAAACCCCAGACCACACAGAACCCTGTGTGCCAGACTTCGTAAAGTACAATTTTTGGTAATATTTATTTTCTATTAATTTCAAACTTAAAAGTTGTGAAAGCAGTGTGAGGAATAAGGAGCTCTCATGTACACTTCACCCAAATTCGCTAGTTTAAGTGCCTCTACTTTTCTTGGTGCTTCTTAACTTTGACATTTTGAAGAGTCAGTTCAGCCTTCTTGTAGAATGTCCTCAGTTTGGGTTCATCTGATGTCTCCTCGTGATCAGATTTAGATTTGTGTGTCGGGGGGGGGGGAGTGCCGCCGAGGTGATGTGTTGTGCTGTGGCCCTTGTTGGAGTTCACCCTGGTCATTTGGTTAAAGTGGCGGCGTCCACAGCTGTTTTCCTCCAGGCAGCCCTGGCTTTCACTTTGGTTTAATAATCTGGGGAGATACTTTGGAATTCTTTAAATGTCTTGTTTGTTCCCCATTGGACTTTCCACCCACTTTGATTTTCTGCCTCTCCTTATAGTTGGCATCCCATTATATGGCAGGCTTTCCCTTCATCCCTGCTTTAGTCTTTTTTTTTTTTTTTTAGCAAGTTTTTTTTAAATATTATTTTTATTGATTTCTTTACAGAGAGGAAGGGAGAGAGATGGAGAGCTAGAAACGTCGATGAGAAACACCGATCAGCTGCCTCTTGTACACCCCCTACCGGGGATGTGCCCGCAACCAACGTACATGCCCCTGACCAGAATCGAACCTGGGACTTTTCAGTCCTCAGACCGACGCTCTACCACTGAGCTAAACTGGTTTCGGCTGCTTTAGTCTTTTATTTACATCAAGTAATGGCCTTTTGGGTTCTTTTGTTCAATCTGTCATAACCTGTAACTCTTGTTTAATGCTTACCTTCTCCCCGGATTGGCTGGTTTGAGTCTCTTCAAAGTGTGTGGTCTCGTTGGTTCCTGAACTTGGATACAGCTTTGAAGAATCCCTACTCTATGGAGTGGCTGGGCTGGCATCTGCCTTCTCTTGTTTAGGGCCAGAAGTGACCTCGTGCTCTTTTTTCAATAGGAAAGTATCGCGAATTCCACCGATTATATGGGGACAAGCGTTTTGTTGATGCGGCTTCTCTCCTCCTGTCCCTGATGACTTCTCAGATTGCCCCCCGGTCTTTCTGGATGACACTCCTAACAGATGCCCTACCCCTTTTGGAACAGAAACAGGTACAGGTTGAACCCAAATGCTTTTCTGCCACATTTTGTAGTCCTTGACAGTGCAGATGCGGAAACATACGTCATCCCCTGGCTCGGTCTCCCCAATAGCACTCACTCTGGAAGTCTAGTGTCCACCCAAGAAAAACTACTTAATTTAAAATGAGGCAGTTGCCTCCTGACCATGCCCATCGCAGGGCTGGGAGTGAGACTAGAGGTGCGTTTTCCTCCCAGGCTGCACATACAAAGCACCCCCTCAGGGCATGCGCAGAAGGCCATCTCTGAACTCAGGCCCAGGCCCAAACCAGCAGGCCTCAGCTAGCAGCAGCTTCTCTCCTAGGTGATTTTCTCAGCGGAGCAAACGTACGAGCTGCTGAGATGTCTGGAGGACTTGACCTCAGGACGACCAGTGCATGGAGAACCTGATGCCCAGCAACTGCAGGTCATTGTAGCTTCCTGGGTTGGTTTCACAACAGAGATGAAAAAAGGCTCCCTGTATCTCTGGCTCCCCCCACCTCCTTCCACAAACACTGGCCCCTTACAAACTCACCTGCCTCTTAACCTGTAACCATGACACACTAACTTCTTTTAGAAAAAATGGCGTGATTCTAGAGTTCTGATCTATTCTTTCCTGTCAATCAGTGGTAGTGATTCTGTGCAGGCAACTCTTACTGGAAGCTATTGCTGAATGCCAAGTGCCCTCTCTCTGCTTTGGGTAGAGCCATGGGAACTTTAAAGGATCCCTTCCTGCTGTGCCTCATGCTGGCTCTCTTTGCTCTTAGGATGATGACATAGAGGCCACCAAGGTGGAAATGCTGAGACTTTCTTTGGCACGAAATCTGGCTCGGGCAATTATAAAAGAAGGCTCATTGGAAGGTTCCTGAGGCTGGCTGAGAGCTGTTCCAGCACGGATCTGTGTGGCGATGTATATACATTTTTTAAAGAATAAATGTTTTCTTTTGCAAATATAAGGCAAGTCCTTACAGAGTTCAGCCAGGGAGTTTTTATCGACGTCCCCTGTGAACCTAATGTAGTAAGAGTTAAGAAAATGCTTATTATGTTCTTATTGACATGGAAGAGAAAAAGACACCCCCACAAGTTAGGGTGAGTGCAGTGTCCTCCTGTCTACAATTGGAAACATGGACAGGAGCCTTCAGTGGTTTACTTGTGGTTCTAAAATTCGGTCTCACCTGAGAAGCATCCGAAGCACTGATGTTAACTTTCTGGTTAATTCTTTTAAAAAAAGAAAAAAGTCCAGGAACCTGTACTTTAAAAAAAAAAAAACCTAGGTGGAGAAAGAAAAAAAAAGAAAAATAAATACACACGTGGGTGATGTCTACCTTTGGAATTCATCAGTGGGGCCCCTTCCCAGTGGGGTGAATGGTGTCTATTAGAATTCCAAGGAGGGTGAAAATGGTTTTATTTAACATGCAGTAAAATAAGGGCAAAGTTGATATACAGTATAGCTGTTTGTCATGAAACAGTAACATTCATAAACAATTTTAACGTCCAAGTCTTATTGTAAAGGTACACTTCCATGTAGTGATCCCAGACTTTCCCAGGCTGTGGCAGCCAGTCTCTGGAAAACTCTTGGATTTATTCCATAAGCAGTGAAATCAATTCACTTTTGACCTATTTTAACGAAGCAGTGAAACCTGCTTGCCAAAGGCGGGAGGGAAGGGAAGATGACCTCTTGAAAGAGGAAGGAAGCTTGGCAAGGAACAGGGAGGAATCTGGGAACGAGGCTGTGCCACCTTCCCCTAGAGATGGCTCTTGAGCCCGTCCAGCTGAATTCAGGCGAGCTGTGTCCTCTTTCCCCAGTGGTGGTCCTGCTTTCCTGTTGCCCTGGAAGGCCTACAGGCTGGCACAAGCTAGCTGGGGCCGAGCACTGTTGAAGCAATAAGGTCTGGTGACTCGATTCAAGCATGGCCCCCAATCTCACCATCTCCAGACCCAACATCTCGCTGACAGTACCCTCAGCAGCTGGGACAGTCAGTTTCTGGGCAGCAGGTAAGTCTAGTGCAATTGCCTGACCCTGAGGCCTCCTGTCTAACTTGTGTTCTGACAGGCTCTCAGGGGGGGGTGGGTAGGGGGAGGCCAAGGCAAGAGGATGTACGGGGGCAGGAATTGTCCTCCCTTCAGAGGCTCGAAGGCAAGACAGCAGTTCATTTCACGCCAAGCAAGAGGTAGTGAATAGGCTGCCTTTTCCCACGGTGGGAGGCACATTTTCGCAGAAAGCTCCGAGTACGTGCTTCGGAAAAGGGGAATCAATGGTTCTCTTCTGTTTTGCTCCTATCCTTAGTTTAGCTGCTTTGGGGCCAAGTTCTGTTTCTGATAGGCCGAGCTCCATGTCCTGCTGAGCTGTCCAAAGGACACAGCTTGCCATCATCAGAGACAGGCATACACTATCCAGTGGCCATGGTACTGACTGGAAGGCAGCACCCACTCCTTTCTTGGGCCTGGGCCCGTTTGGGACCACCTTCCTGGAGGTAGGAGACTGCCAGCAAGGGGAGCACAGAGTAGCATGGTGGGGGTGGGGAGTGAGGACCTGGTTCTTGAGGAAGGACCCCAAGTCTTTAGAGACTCCTCCCTTGCGGCAGGCAGCGAGTGCCAACACGAGGGAAAACCTACTCCAGCTTTTAAGTCTGTTCCCAGGGAGACCGTGCGGAGTCCGGGCCACATCCCGCCCAATAGTACATGGCCACTTTGAGTCACACAGGTAGATACAAACATGTCCTCTTACGGGGCCAAAGGAGGAGAGACCATCACGGCAGTTCAGCTCCTGGCAGCAAGGCCCAGGGCCTGTTCCATACCACAGCTCACGCACTGTGATCAGGACGTGGAGAATGACGACCCGGAGAGCCCTCCTGTCTCGGGCAGCCTACTTGGGCTTCAGAGTGGAGATGACCGCATCCTTCAAGGTCATAGGTTCCCCCACTGCTCCACAGGAGGGAACTGGTCCACCTCACCCACCTCTGTGCTCAGCTGCTCCCCAAGGGCGAAGGTCAGTCTATACCGAAGCCTTGCCTTCTCCTGTGACAGACGGGCAGTGTGTGAGACTGTTAACCTCGAGGATTTTGTGCTGACAAGACAGGTCCTGATCCCACCACCCCATCCTCACTCAGCCACTGACCCCGGGTGGGAAAGGGACAAGGTCAGGGCTACAGTGCCACGGCACTTCTGGTTGGGAGGGCGTAAGGTGGTGCTCACAAGATCCTCATCTGGGGCTTCTAGCTCACCTTCAGTGGATTAGCCAGCAGCATGACCTGAGTGATGGCTGCAGGTGGCTGGACGGGGCTAAATGGAGCGAGTTCCGTCCCAGAGGGTGGCTGCAGCTTCACTTTCATTGACTAGAGAGAGAAAGCTTGTGAAGAGACCGGCAGGCGGAACCCAGTGTGGTCACATCAGGCACACACTGCCACCTGCTGGCCACAAGATAAAGGCCCTAGGAAGTACCTTGGGCACTGCGGCCTGCAGCACGATGCTTTTTATGGGCAAAGGAGCTGTATTCAGCATGGACACAACCACCACCAACACATCGGGCCGTCCTGGTGGACATTCCTTGGCGAAGTGGAAGAGGATGCGGAAGCCGTTTTTATCATAGGCTGTTACAGGAAGGGCACTGCCTGTAAGAAGGTGGCATGTGGGTGGAAGGAGCGAGAAGGTCAACAATCCCCAACAGAACCAGGGGTGCTGCTACAGCCAAGTGGGGAGAGCAGTGCTCCGTGAGGAGTCTGGGAAAGGACTGCTGTCAGAACTTCACAAGACTGCGCAGTAGCAAAGACAATAAGGAAGCAGGTCACCAGCAAGGAGAGCCTGTACCAAACCACCCCTCCCCACAGTGCTGTGAGTTGGGCCCCACTTCTCCCACTCCAAGCTTCTACACCTACTAGGCTTGATAGATTCCAGAGGGACATGGACACTGGCCAGGGAGAGCTCAGGCCCCTTCATGGGGCTCTCCTGGGATGGGAAGACAGGTGGCTGGAAGAGAGGGCTGCCAGGCCCCGTGGAGAACGGCAGGAGAGGCCTAGCTGAAGTGCTGCTGGGGATCAGAGGGGAGGTGGTGGCCCCAGGGAAGATGGAGGAGATGGGTTTCACCAGGCCTGAGGTCCTGGGAGGCAGGAAGGAGAAGGCAAGTCAGAGACCAAGCAGAGCTGTTGAGCCAACCCTCACAAAGCACTTACTGCCCTTGCCCTCTCTCCCCACTTCCTGCCCCAGGCCAGAGCTAGCTCCTGCCTACCCCCTAGCTTTCAGATTCCAGTCTCAGGTCAGACCAAAACAATATCCTCAACCCCATTGATTCTAAGCCCAACCTTCCCTCCCTCAACCCCCATCTCCCACTCATTACGCTTTGGCTTCTTCTAAAAGCTGATCGAGGGCATCCAACTGGTGCAGGGAGCTGTCACTCAAAGCTGAGCCATGGTACCCAGGGACTGTGGGCTCAGCTTTTGGGGTCGAAGCTGGGGCCAGTCCAGTGGGGAACAAAAAGCCTGTTTTTGGAGCAGAAACACTGGCTGGGACCACAGGAGCTGGGAAGGGGGGTGGCAGTGGAGGCTGGGAGTTGCCTGCAGGGGCTGCTGAGGGCTGGAGGACAGGCCCGTCTGAGGGGCTACAAGCAGCAGTCCCAGGTTTGGGGCTGAAGAAGTCCAGGTCCGACTGTTCATTCTATGGGGAATGGAAAGGACAAGTGAGCAAGGGGTGTAGAGGGTTTTGGCTCTCCGCTCCTGGCTCCTTGGCAATCCCACTGACGTAGCAGCCCTCCAAGGACAGGGCCCCAGGGGCTAAGAACTAGTTGGGAAAAGACACTGACAAGCCAGGGTTGCCCAGTGCTTCAGTCACTGGGGCACCTACCTGGAACAGGGGCCACTGGCCGTTTCCAGCAGACTCTTTGCGGGGAGCCCTAGGGGCTGGGTCAGCAAGGCCTGGGAAAAGAGATGGCTGTGAGGAGCAGAGGCCTTGCACCAGGGCAGCCCCAGCTCTACCTCCCCCAAGGGGGTCACACAGTTTGGGGGTGTTCCAGGGAAGGTGGAAGCAGAGCAAGACACTGGGTCTACTGTTTCCACCCAGCCTCTAGCCAGCCTGAGGGCCACTAAACCTGACTTTCTCTCCTTAAACTGAGGCCTCCCTATCCTTACTAAGCACACAGGGCGCCACATAGCCCCCCTTCCAGTGCCATGCCCTTTCTCTCCTAGTTCTGGTGGATTCTAGCGGCTAGAAGCAGCCCTTCCCAGCCTTCCTCCAGGACACACCCAAGCAGAGCAGCTCTTCATCCAGCAAGGAGAGGGCATTGCTTGTGTTGCTGGGCCCTGGGGGGGCCTCGGCCTGGCTGGACGAGCGGCTGCGCCCAGGTCCTGAGGCCGGGGGCGGTGGAGGGAGGATAGGGATGCCGGAGGAGGGTGGCGTGGGGGCCAAAACGGGGGCTGAGCTGCCTGGTGCATCCAACTCTGCAAGGTCGATGAGAGTGCCTTGGTTCCTGGAGTGGTGGTGTCCTGGAGGAGTGAATGGAAGGGGACAGGGATAATTAGGGGCACCGGAGTGGTTATGCCGCCTCTGGCCTAACTCACGGGCATTCATGCCAAGTAGAAAGGTGAGGGCAGGTGGAGAAAGCCTGTCCGATCCGTGCCCTCTCGGAAGCTGGAGAACCATTTAGAATGCCCTTGAGGCTGTGGGCTGACACACTGGTCAGCCTGCACCTGTGGCTGGTGGGGATGGCGGCTGGTCTGCAGGGTTCCAGGACGAGGAACTGAAACATTGTACCTTCCGAGTCCAACAGGGATGAGGTGGCCACCTCACCATTGATGGCCTGCCCATCAATGATTGCCTTATAGGAGCTGATGACTCGGGAGAGGTTGTCACTGGCCTGCAGGATGTCTCCTAGAGTAGAAAAGACTTCTCATCCCTGACCCTCCACACACACATTCAATTCCTGGGTCATCCTTGTCACTAGTCTTCACTCACCCAAACTATTGTCATTGTCTTCTGTCTCGCTGGCTAGTTTAAATAACGTCCGCCTCTTATTCTCACACCGATCAAACAGCTCCTGAAAGAGACCCAGACATAGAAACCTGGGAGATCATCTCCGTTAGCATTCATGCCCCAAAATCACAGGCTCTCTTGGCTTCGTGGTCAGTTACTGGTAGAGCTGGCTCAGCACAGTCCTCTGCTGCCAGCCTGCACCAAACTGTCACCCAAATGCCTGCGTAGGCAGAGAAGTCACCAGGACGGACAAGGGCAAGTACATCCCTGCCGGCATGTGCTCAGAATTCAGAATATCCGTGTGCCCAAGAACAGGTGCCACATTCGGGGGCACAGGGAGGGGCTTCTGGGAGGCAAGGCCGAGAACAGCTCTCAGAGTCAGAGTTGCGTGCACACGCAGCTCCTCTGCACGGGGCAAGTCAGGCATGGCTCCTGCAGATTGGCAGAGGCATGGCTCCTGCAGATTGGCAGAGGCATGGCTCCTGCAGATTGGCGGTGCCAATCCCCTCTCTGGCTGCCATGTCGCTTCCTAAGTTAGGGACCATCATGTGTGTAGCAGCATCTTCAACAGAGCAGGCACCTGGCGAAGGCTGCTCCCTGCCCAGAGCCCAGCTTGCTCATATTGGGGGGCTACCTTCATGAGCTCTTTATCTGCCTCGGACGAATCCTCCTTGCTGTAATGAAGCAGCATCTCACTGAGCAGCTTCACGTTGTTGTTCACCTCCTCTAAGGTGTGTAGGCGCTTGGTCACCTTCTGGACCCGTGCCTCATCCTGCAGAGGATCAAGGAGAAAGCTCAACTAGACTCATCCCACTGCCCCCAGAGTCCCAGGGTGACCCAGGGACAGTAGAGCGAGGCCACTCCTGGAGGCTCCCCAACGCACGGTGCTTAGGAACCATGGGCCTCAGACCGTTAGCAGGTTTTCTGTTAAAGTGATAGTCCTGTCCCCGTCCACTACTGCTCCTCTATGCCGTCCACGGCCTCCAGCGTTGGGCTGGTGGCAGGGACGAAGAGCAAGCTTGATGCCAAGGGAAAGGACTTCTGCTCCGTGTCATGGGCTCCTCCACCCGACACCCAGGCCCAGGGCCCACTCACTTCCTTCACCATGGACTTGATCAGCTTGTTGGCCTCTTGCAGGTCATCTGGGTTTTTGCTTTTCAACAATTTGGCTAAAAGCTGGGTGAGAAGAGTATCAAAGGTGAAGGCAAAGGTAGCACTCCAGCTGGGGAACTGGAGCTCCCTGCAGCATGAGCGATGCCACACCTCCCTGAGGACTGCAGGCCGGATGCACTTTACCTTGGATTTCTCCTCGTCATCAAACACAGGGTTTTTGGGACGAGGCGGTGGAGAAGGGATCAGGGTCCTGTCCACAGGGATCAGGGGGTCAGACTGCACTATGCCTGAAAGGTGACACAGATAGAGGGTTTGCTCACAGCCAGGGGACACATCCCTGTGATCAGGACCTGTAGGGGCAGGGACAAGCAGGCTCCACACACCTCCCATCAACCTCCAGCCAAGCCTGTCCCATTGTCTTCAGGAGGGAGGAAGGGGTGTAGCATGGGGGCAGCAGACACCCCCACATACCCTGTCTCTTCAGCATGTGGTAAGCATCTTTGATCTTTGATTCTTCCGGCAGGGCCAAAGTCCAGCTATAAAGCAGCTCAATAACCTTGGTCTTCACTTTCTCAGACACCCTGTCCCCCAGGTACTAAGAGGCAAAAGGAAATCGGTAATGGAGTCTAGAGGCAGGAACAGTGGGAAGGCTCTCTCACAGCAGTGAAATGGCCACTAAAGTTAAGAGCCCTCAGACCTATGGGAAGCCAGCAGGGATCAGGCGTGAGGCAGCAGAGTGGGGAGGAGAGGGCACTGCTTGGGGCGGAGCTGTATCCACCTGGGGTTAGGCAGGGGGCTGGGATCTCGGCCCTGAGTTCCCATGCACAATCTGCCAGGAACAACTACGCTTTATCTCAAAGGAGCCAGTGTCTGTAGCACAAGAGTTGTTCCCTCTGCTATAAGTTGGTGCCCAGAGCATAAGCAACACGAGTGAGCAACAGAACCTGAGTAGCTCAGTAAGGGAGGCTAGCTTGAGGCCATGAGGCCGGCCACTCACAACTGGCTTCTGTGCTAGAAGCCAAAGGCCTGTGCCATCCAGGCCCTCCCCAGATACTCAGCGGCTGCCATGTTGCTTGTCGTATTTAGGCTGGGAGGCGCAGAAATTCTGAAATTCTGAGATGCTGGCTGTGCAGTAACAGCTAGTAGGTAGAGGAGGGGGAGACACACTAAGGAAGTTCCTAGAAATGAGGAAACAGCACTGACTGACCTTTGGAGAGACGACTTTGATCAACTCATTCAAGAACCGGAACTTGCCCACTTCGTTGTGAAATCTCCGCCCACAGTTCTTCATACAGGCCTCCAGCACCTGCAGCACAGGGGAGCTCGTGGGGGTGCCGCAAGATGCTGCCATTTTAGAGGAGGAGAGGCCCCGAGAATGACTCTCATTCTGGGTCCAGGGTTCTTTCCACAAGCTGATCAGCAATGTGGGGCGGTGGGAGGTAAAAGTTTTAATTGTTTCCTAGTTTTTAGATGACATGCTATGTTCCTTCCCCCGCTTCCATTTATTTTCCTCTGGGACCACAGAACTACCATCAGCTTTCCTCTGCCTGCAGCTTAGCCAAGGAGCACGCCTTCCTTGCTTCCATCTCTGTAGAGCAGGGCTTTTCAACTGTGCAATCACTGACATTTTGCGCTGGTCATTTCTCATGAAAGCCTGTCCCATGTGTTGCAGGGTGTTTATATACCCACCTGATGCCAGTGGCATCTGTGACATGAAGCAACCAAAAGTGTCTCCATCTGTCATCAAATGTGCAAAACCACAGAGAACCTGTCTGAAGGCCGCAGCTCCACTTTAATCGCGACAAAGGCGCGCCCGTGGGCTAAGCGCCCCCTTCAGGCCACTCCTCTCCCCTCCCCAGCACCTCCGTGGTCATGAACCCTGGGGAGAGGATCTGTGCTTGAATCTTGTTTGCCTGAATAACCTCTAGATCTGCCTCTTGGTGTGATGCATTACTTTTTGCTCCGGAATGACTTCTATTCACTTCCATTTTCTTCAGTTGGCCAGCTCTTAACCAGCAGGACAGCTCTGTCAACATCTCTTCCAGAAGCCTCCTCTGAGCCCCCCTCGCCCCCTTCCCGACTCAGGGTCTGCCTCTGGCTCCCTCCCTCAGCCTCTGCTTCGCCCACTAGACCTCAGGGCCGGCAGTCAGCTTTGAAGCCCCAGTGCCTGGCACAAGGGCGCACACGTTTGTAAAACATCTGACCAACGTTCTGTAACAGCCTGGGCTCAGGAAGACCCACCCTCAGCATGAAAAACCTACCGTCAGGGCCTGGACTGCCTCCCATTCCTGTGGGGACTGGATCTTATGGGCCAGCAGTCGGACAGCGATCTGTGGCCTAGGAGACAAGCAGAGCACATTTTCAATCACTGACCCTGAGCCCCTCTGGCTAGACAGCCTCGGCCTCAGCTTTGTGCCTTCCCAGTGACTGACACCTGTCCCCTTACAGCTCTGAGACTCACCCTTCCAGCTCCTTGTTGATCTGATCACAGAAGCCGATTATGTATTCCCAGTCCTCCTGGCGGTTGGAAGGATTGGTGGCCTTATCTTGGGACAGACCAAGAAGAGGACAACAGTTACAAAGAGCGAGGAGGACAGAGCAGAAGGTTTTCCCCATAATTGGCAGGCCTGGGTGTGAAGATATGTTTTTCTCAAACTTCTTGCCTAACAGAAGCCTCGACAGCTCAGTCAGGCAGCAAGTCACATGGTACCACTTGCTGTCCATATTGGGAAAATCACCAAGGAAACAGTTCTCAGCTCATGGAGCTTAGAGTAGACCATGTTCGGCAAAATGAACACAGATAGACCTGGCCCATGTTGCTAACCCGTGTGCCGACCCGCGCACCAAGGGGTCAGGGGTTTTATCACCAGTTGGAGCACATACTGGAGGCAACTAACTGACCCATGTTTCTCTCTCCCTCCCTCTCTAGAATCAATAAAGGAAGCATATCCTCGGGGGAGGATTTAAAAACAACACAAATGCCGAAACCGGTTTGGCTCAATGGATAAGCGTCGGCTTGGGGACTGAAGGGTCCCGGATTCGATTCCGGTCAAGGGCATATATTATACCTTGGTTGCGGGCATATCCCCAGGAGGGGGTTCTGCAGAAGGCAGCTGATTGATGTTTCTCTCTCATCAATGTTTCTCACTTTCTATCCCTCTCCCTTCCTCTCTGTAAAAAATCAATAAAATATATTTTAAAAAACACACTAGCTCCATGGTTAAATCCTAACAGAGACTCCTGCCTCCCAGCTCCTCCCTGGATTCTGAGCCACAGAGGTCAGCAGCCGTGACTAGAGCTGAGCTGAGGTGCAGTGTGGTTTAGGCTCAGATTTGGAGGAAAGGAGAGATGTGTGTCCTCAATCTTGAAGAGAGGATTAGCAGGCCCCTCAAAATGTCCCGCTTGAAGGAAAGAGGTACTAATTCTATCAAGAGTGGCTGTAACTGCCATAGTGACCCGTCCAGAGAAGCCCTGAGTCTCTCCCAGTTATCTGAAACCTTCTCAGGTGTTAGCGCGGCTGTGTTACCAATCCCGAACACCTGAGATGCTTACAGCTCTCACATGACAGCTAGAGGCGGTGGAAATACAAAATTAAGATCGTCTGAGGGCCATACCCAACTCATCTTTATTATATTGGGAACAGTCACATGTTTGTATAAGAAAAAGCAGCCTAGCTGAAACCGGTTTGGCTCAGTGGATAGAGCCAGGTTCGATTCCAGTTAAGGGCATGTACCTTGGTTGCGGGCACATCCGCAGTGGGGGGTGTGCGGGAGGCAGTTGATCGATGTTTCTAACTCTCTGTCCCTCTCCCTTCCTCTCTGTTAAAAAAAAAAAAAAAAAAAAAAAAGCAGCCTACTCACTTCCACTGTTTACAACTGGAAAATTATCTTTCAAGATAGATGTGGTCACCCCCTCTTCACCACACACACACACACACACACACACACTCGCACCCAAGCAACAGGCATTCACCAAAAGCGTATTTTTCCCAGACACGCTAGAATTCTGACAGCATTCCTGCTTCCAGGAATTCCGCCTGCTTGCCTTTCACTGTGTTCACCTTCTCTAGAACCCCATTTCCTTTCATCTCGGCAGAACTTTCCTCTGCAAACCTGCAGGGAGCGCTGTTCCTACACATGGGCACAGAAAGCCCTGGTTTCAGCAGCCCCACTTCGGACCACCTCCCGGGCTCTCCAGCCAGCTCGCGAGCAATCCTCAGCCAGCTCCAGGCCAGAAGAATCCACTGGGGACCATTCTGGGTGGGTGGATGGCTCCATCTGCCCGCTGCCTCCCCAGGCAGGTGCACACGGCCTTCCACCCACTCACCACTCACCATCACCTGCACACAGGCGACATCAGGGGTTCCCTGGCAGACCCTGCCATCTAGAATTGCCCCTTCGGGATCTCCTCTGACTCAAGGTTTCCATTTCAGATCTTTACTGAAAGCCTCTCTTCTGTGTCTGTGCCTCTAGTTCCCTCCTCTCATTTTCAGCTTAATTCCATCACTAGCCGGGTGTCGTGGGACCTTGTAAGACAAGTAGGGATGGAAACAGCAGCATTGGCTACCCCATCCCACCCTAGCTCGGATGCTCCAGAGACAGTTCTATGCAGCAAAAAAAAAAAATCAAAAATAGACAGAGGAGAGAACAAGGGGTGAAAGAGAGTGGAGTGCCAACCTTTATTGCTGGGGTCTTGAATCAAGAGAAACTGAGCCAATCACCGGTGTTTGCTAGACACCCACAGAAAATCAAGCACACAGCATGCCAGGCTCTGGGGGGAATTCAGGAAAAGCACAAGACTGGGCTCCTACCCCTGGACGCAGCAGGGGCTTCTGCAATAATTCTGGCAAACTACGGAGTGACAAGGCCCTAGAGCAAGCATGTCAAACTCAGAGGCTAACACGGGCCACATAAACATGGCCTGCGGCCCACGGGCAATGAGTTTGACATGCTTGCCCTAGCATAGGATGTGCTTGAGCCCAAGCACTGGTTCGTTCACTTGCTCTAGTTCATAACATTAACTCATTTGACTTACGACTCTTCATAAGATAAAAATATCGAAAGTCCAAAATGCACTCAATACTGCTGCAACACGCGAGACATAGCCAGAGCAAATAACAAGGTGGAGTGTAATTGTAAGCGCTTCTTTGGTACAGAAACGAGACTAAAAACAAAGCCGTCACTTCTCCTTCGGACTTCCCTATTGCTATGACACAGCTCCCTGCGCCCCGGCTTTCAGGCACCCAGGTCTGAACCTCCATTGTTGACCTCTCTTCCCTCGCCTCTCCCACTCCTCATCCATTTCTCAGTCCATAGTCCCTTCCTTCTCAATGTCTTTTTAAATTTCTCCCACAACTTCTTATCCCTGCCCCCACCCTTCCCTACCTCCCTCACACCGGTTTCCAGAATGTCTGCTCCAATCCATCCTATAAAAAAAACCCAGTAGCAATTTTCCTGAAAACTGACTTCTCAAGGAAGAGTGGGCGAGGGGGGTCTGACAAATGTAGACACGTAAACTGCGCGGGCTGGAATTGCAAAGGTGTAACTCCCCAGCTTTCGTTCCCATCGCTCTTCCACAGAAACCCCCAAACACCAAACACCCCGACTGCGCGCCCCAAACCAGGGTTCATTCATTCGCTTGGTACAGTTCACACCTTTAAGTCTTATAAGACTTACCTCGGTGTTACATCCAGAGAAATTCTTCCTAAGTTGAAAATACCGTTAAATCGAAAACGCATTTAACACACCTACCTACCCAACATTACTGCTTAGCCTAGAATACGATATCCAAAAAGCACTGGCCCCGCCGTTCAGGGTAGGTATCCGCTGTTTATGCTTGTGCTCCAGAGGCCGGTGGGCGCCGGGCTTGCTGCACCGCCCGGAGAGAGTACCCTCCCGCAGAACGCTAGCCTGGGAAAGGGTCAGATTTCAAACTCTGAAGTACGATTTCTACTGAATGCTTAGCGCCAGGAACGTCGAAAAATTGTGTGGAACGATGGTTAAATCGGGGACATTTGTAGTCCCTGCAGATACCATCCCATTCCCCTCTCCTCATCTCCCTTCTCCCTCAAAAACAGGTCTGTACCTCTCCTATTTCAAAACACAACTCTACACCTAGTAAACTCACTGCTCCAATGTCCTCACGGATATCTGGGAATCAACCAGCTCCAGTGCTGCTGTGTTCTGACTGGGTGGCTCTGGCAGGGGTTTGACTAGAGTCAGGCGGCCCCTTTGTGGGCAGCTGTGACAGTATCTGCTTCACCAGAAACTTGACCAGTGAATGTCTGTGGAGCGCTGTAAGCCGCCTGGAGACCAGTCCCAGAGGCGCTGAGACCTGCCTGCAACGGCAGATGGTGCGGATGTGACCTCGGTTCACCCACCTGAAGGGAGTTTCTTGTTAAGGAAAGGCCGGGCAATTGGAGGCAACAGGCCTCGGCTCCAAGGCCCCGGAGGCTCTAGCGAATAAGAGCTCTCTGCAAGGCTCATGTCCTGGGCATCTCTCCGCGCCTGACCACACGTCCAGTTTGCCCCCTCTTAGAAGCCTGCAGGAGCCTCCGCTAACCCCTCGGAGGGCGCTGCCAGCTCAAAGCTGCACCCGCGATCCTGGCAAAATAGGCCGCTGCTCCCGGCGTCAGGCTGGGCGCCCCGCTCCGCTCCGAGGTCCAGGTGCGCGCGGGGCGGGGGCGCAGAGCTGGGCTCCTGATCTCCGCAACACCCGCACCTCCAACATTCTGCCTGCGCCACGCGGTCACTCCCGCACACACGGTCCCGGTCCTGAAGCTGCTCCCGGAGCGTCAGCCCAAACCCGGCGCTTCCCCGCGGCGGGGACTGCGCCGCCCGCAGCCCCATCACGCCCTCCCCGGCAGCGCTTGGCTGTCACCGTCCGGAGCCCGGAGGCCGGGACACGACCCGAGCTCACGCCCACGCGCGCGGGAGGGGAGGAGGCGGCGCGGCCGGGGAGCGGGTGCGGCGGGGACCGGCCGCCCAGCCGGGGAGGGGGCGTGATCGGGGGCGCTCGCGGCGGCGGCGGGCCCAGGCGCAGGCTGACAGGCGGCGCCGCCGCGGGGCCCGGGGCCCGGCCGCACGGGTGCGAGGAGGGCCGGCGCGGTGGTGGCCCGAGGACATGCAAAAGTGGCCGCGGATACTCACTCAGCCAGGACTCCAGGCTCTCTCCTTCCGCCTCCGCCATATTGCAGCCGCCCGGGCCAGGCCCGCGGCCTCAAACCTCGCGACAACCTGCGAGAGCGGGGCCTGGGTGGGGCCTGCATGGGGGCCTGAAAGGAGCGAGCGCCTGACTGCGACGGGGAACGGGATGGCGAGTGTTTCCTTTGGATTCTTGCCTTTGGACCTCAGGATCAGAGACTCTTAACGTGCTGACTGATGGAGTGATGCGCAGATTGAGGACCCCCGCGGGGCCTTTTCCTCGTCTTCCGTCACTCGCTCAGGCACGCCGCGGGCAGTTCTCGTGGGGTCCTCGAGGCAAACCAAGATGGCCGCCCCCTTGGTGAAGGCGCTGCTCGGGTGCTCGGACCTGACGCTGGGCGTGCGGAGCGCTGCCCTGCGGTTCCCAGGGTGAGAGGGCGGCGGGCAGCTGGGAGGCCGCCTGGGTCTTCACCGGGAGGAAGGAAGGGGCCGCAGGCAAGGCGCGCGGGGCCTGGAGACAGCCTGGAGGCCGGGCTAGCGGGGTCCAAAGCTCTGAACTAGCGGCGTGACTTGGGCCAATCGGAAGGCCTGGTCACTGCCCCTGCCCGCGGGGGTTCTGGCTGGGAGTTAAAAGCACCGTCTTGCTAAAGAGCTCAGAGTGGGGGTTTTCTGTGCTGGGAGTTGGGGCGGGGAGAGATGCACAGGCGGTTTCCACCCTCAGGATCAGGATCCCGCCCTTGTCGTTGGCACCGGACGTGGAGGAAGCTTCCTGGCCTGTTTGGGGGCGGGCCTCCTTCCTCTTGAGACAGGAGCCAGAATCACTGCTGTTCAGGTTGGGCTGGCGGCGTGCGTCGCTGCCTGCTCAGCGGGCTGGCAAACATGCCCATTGTTAAGTCAAGCCTCTCCACTTGTGGAGTCAGCTTTGCCCCCGCCTCCTCTTCCCGGTCTCCCAGGTTGACCCCGGTGCGCTGGAGCCGCTACAGCGCAGAATTCAGGGATCCCTTGATTGACAAGGAACACTATCGCAAGCCCTTGGCAGAGCTGACGGAGGAGGAGAAGTTTGATCGGGAGCTCAAGAAGACGCAGCCCATCAAAGCTGCCCCGTCCTCGCACACAAGCTCCGTGTTTGAAGACCCCGTGATCAGGTGAGAGGGGACGCTTTTGTTCCCCTGGGTCCATCCCAGGGAGGATCGACAGGAAGGATTCTGGGACACGGCCTTGGAAAGCTCACCACGTTTCTTTTCTCCTTGAAGTAAATTCATCAACATGATGATGAAAGGAGGAAACAAGGTCCTGGCGAGATCCCTCATGACACAGGTAACTGGTTCCTCTCGTCTTTCTTTCTTTCTTTCTCTGTAGCTTTGCACTTGGCTCTTTCAGCTTAGCATGAAAAAGAGTGGATTCACGCCGAAACCGGTTTGGCTCAGTGGATAGAGCATCAGCTTGGGGACTGAAGGGTCCCAGGTTCGATTCCGGTCAAGGGCATGTACCTTGGTTGCGGGTATATCCCCAGTGGGGGGTGTGCAAGAGGCAGCTGATTGATGATTCTCTCTCATCGATGTTTCTAACTCTCTATCTCTCTCCTTTCCTCTCTGTAAAAAATCAAAAAAAAAAAAAAAAAAAGAGTGGATTCACGAACTGTCATTGAAATGAACTTGTGTGTGTGTGTGTGTGTGTGTGTGTGTGTGTGTGTTGGGGGCTTTAATGGACCCTGCAGGATGAACAACTGCCATTCTCCTCCCCTCCTCCAAACCTCAGCCACTCTTCCCGTCCTGGCGGAGGAGGAGGAGGAGGAGGAGGAGGAGGAGGAGGAGGAGGAGGAGGCATTAAGAACTCTGCACTGCTCCAAGAGCGGGATGATGGGAGTGAAGGGCAAGGCACTCACTGAGCTGGGGAAACCATTCGGGATGCCCGGAAAGCCCCTGCCACTGTCTCCCGTTGCAGACCCTGGAAGCTGTGAAGAGGAAGCAGTTTGAGAAGTTCCATGCTGCTGCTTCAGAGGAACAGGCAACCATTGAACGCAACCCCTACACCATCTTCCATCAGGCCCTGAAGAACTGCGAGCCTGTGATCGGGCTGGCACCCATCCTCAAGGGGGGCCGCTTCTATCAGGCGAGTGGTCGGGGCCGGGAAAACGAGATGAGGGGAGGCGTTCCTGCAGGTGGGAGGGACCAGAGTTGGATCAAGATTAATAGCTTTCTAGGGGCCAGAGACCAACAGGATCTGATCATGTGAGTCCCGTAGCGTTAAAGATGACAGAAAAGGAAGAAAACAAAGAAGTACCCAAGTGACCTCTTCTGGAGCCCTAGACCCCCCCAAAAATCTTGTGTTCTGTCAGTTTCTCCTGGCGAGAGGCCGTTTATACCTCATCCTTTATACACCATGTCTAGCCTAGTGCTTGACTTATAACTGATGCTTCATCACCAACTGAATTAGGTGCCCCCATTATAGTATATAATTATGTTTCATTGTCATAAGTGGGTGTTCTCATCTTTTTTGGTGTAAACTTCATAAAAATTGAGACTTTCTTATTGCTGTCTGTGTCCCTAGGATCTGTCATGATACACAGTGAGGACCTGACAAATGACTCTTGGGCAAGAGGGTCTTATTTTTAGGCACCTGCCATCTGCGCTGGCCGTCACCCCAGCTGATCAGGCTTTTCCCAATGGGTGCCCGTTAGCTTGGCTGAGCTTCTACATACAGGTAGAGGTCAGCGCTTCATGCTGATGCCTGCCACGCCGAGCTCACCCACAGCTGCGGGCAGCTCGGAGGAAAAGACGGCCCTCTCAGGAGCCTTGCGAGGGCTGCCCTAGAGGGAACCTGCGGCCACTCCTCAGAGCTCGTGGAAGGAGGCTGCAACCCTGGCTAATTCCCGGGCCAACTCTGCCGTGTCCTGTCTTGCACAGGTGCCTGTGCCACTAAGCGACCGGCGCCGGCGCTTCCTGGCCATGAAGTGGATGATCACCGAGTGCCGGGAGAAGAAGCACCGGCGGACGCTGATGCCGGAGAAGCTGTCGAAGGAGCTGCTGGAGGCTTTTCACAACCAGGGCCCTGTGGTCAAGAGGAAGCACGACCTGCACAAGATGGCTGAGGCCAACCGCGCCCTGGCCCACTACCGCTGGTGGTAGGAGCGGCAGGCTCCGGAGCCGCCCAGGCCTCCGCTGCAAGAAACGACGTGAGCCGCTGCTGCTCTGGAAACACCTGTGCTTCCGGGTGTAGCTCCTTAAGGCGGCCCCCCAGGAAGGATGGTGCAGTGTATTTACTGCTTTCCTCTTTCCTTCGTGGCTGGAACTTGCTCTCCCTGCCCCACCTTGTAACGAGGCAATAGGTGGACTTGGATTTCCCCCAAGAAACTTGGGGCCCACCCAGCCTTCTCTTTCATCTGCTTGGGGTGGACTTCTGGGTGATGAAAGGAAGCATGTTAGTATCTCAAACGTTTATTAGGAAACTCTCACCCTGAACTGTGTAGCATGTGGTACAGTACTGCCACCCATGAAAACTGGAGGAAATATATCTGTTTCCAAAGTGGTCCTTATACAAAACATATAAAAGTTTCTGGTGTGACTTGTACCCTGCACCTTTCCCCCTTGAAATTCCAAAGCATCCTACCAGAGGCTATGGGTACCCATTTTACAGATGGGAAACCGAGGTGCCAGTGGTTACACAGTGCAGTGGTGGTTAGGATATGGTGGGAGGTATGGGAGAGACTGAGGGGAGGAGGAGAAGCTCAGGGCAGAACCCCTGGAGAAGTGGGAAACCTCTCGGGAGCTGCTGAAGGCTGGAAGTGAAGTCTGGAGGAGCAAAGACTGCAGGGAGGTGGGAGGTGGGAGGTGGCAGAAGCAGGCCAGTGCTGCTGGCAGGGGAGCCCATCTGGAGGCCTAGTCGGAGACCTCGCTGTAGTAATACTTGTGGGCGGCTGGGGTCGTCTTCCAGCCAGCGGCCCGGAACTCAATGATCTCCAGCAGCAGCAGCTGGGCCAGCGAGCTGAGGTCGGTGAGGAGCAGGAAGCCGTCCCGGATGAGGACAAAGAGCTCATCCATCCGCTGCCTGTTCATCTTCTCCAGCTGCTCCCCAACGCGGTGCAGCTGCAGCACCAGGCAGTCCACCTGCAGGGACCGTGGGAGGTGAGCCAGGCAGGGCCAGCCCGCCGCACAGAGCAGCCATTTACTGAGCTCTCCCTGCGTGCCAGGCGCTGTACGTGACACTAGACACGCGTTTTCCCACTTCACCCTCACACCACCCAGCGGGCAGCACCCGAATCTTCTATGGCAGGAAGCAAGCTCAGGGACTTTCCTAAGATCTTTCGTGTTGGCCCAGAGACAGGCCCTGTCTGCAGACTGCAGCTGAGCCCGCTTCCTCCCCCCGCAGTGCCTGGCCCTGGTTTGGTTTCTGGCCAGCAGCATCCACAGCTGGCCCAGGCTCTCGCCATTTTTGTCATTTTGTAGGCTGGCTGTCCTGCCGGGAGGTTTTGGCTGCTCTCTGTTCTGGGTCAATGTCAGACTTGGCAGCTTGTTCTGTAACGGATAGGCCTTAACGGCCCCCCCGCTCCTGCCCCGCAAGGGATGCCTCAAGCCTCCACGGGCCCTGGGCTGGTCTGAGCTGAGCTAAGGCCGCCCACCCCCCAGCCGTCAGGGCCAGGGCCACCTACCTCCTCCTCCTCGCTCAGACTGTCGGGCTGGGCCAGCCGGAAGAGGCAGTCGTACACGGGGTTCACCAGGGCCATCATGGACATGTTGTTCACCTGTTGGGGGGGGAGAGCAGGGGTCAGAGCACGGGCTTAGTGGCCTCCGGAGACAGGCTGGCCGCTGCACAGGGTGCCTGTGCGGCCTCACCCTCAAGTAGTCGAAGATGTTGCAGATGAAGGTGACATAGCAGACCCAGCCCCGCGGGGAGCGTGCGCGCAGCTGCTCCCGGGCCTGGTACTCCTGCTGCAGCCGGTTGAGGAGTCCTCGCCGGAAGACACTCTGGCCCGCGTGCTTGCTCTCTGCCTGTGAGCCAGAGGAAGGACGGCGGCATTGGGGGCGGGCGGTGCCATCACAGCCCCCACCTGAGCTCCGTGGCTGAGGACCCTCCTCTCTGCCTGGGGCAAGTCTGTCACATCTCTGCCAGTCTCCCCTCTGCACCAGCGCTCCCCAACCTGAATGACGGCATAGCACATGCGTCCCGCTTCCTTGCTGAACACGCGGTCCTGCAGAGAATGGTCCACAATCACATTGGCCACTTTCTCCAAGTCCACGGCACCTGGATCTGGGGCAGAGATAGGCAGGCAGGCTCCACCTGCTCCCGAGGACTGGCCATGTTTACCGAAGGGCACAACCAGTACATGCTCACATTTCACTCAGATCAGAACACACGGGAGCCACACGCAGCTCCGCCTGGGGAAGGCCAGCAGCTGACCGACTAATCAGAGGATGCTAGTTTTGAGGCAGATCTGGTGGCACTAGGGCTGGGGAGGGAACACTGTGACAGCAGCTTTACAAGAGCAAGCGTTCTCAACACGCCCTGAACCCCTGACGTGAGCAGGCCAAGCAGGGCCTCTCCCACAAGCTCAGCTTGGCAGGTGATGGCACTGCCCATTGTGAACCGAGTCCACTTCTGTCCTGAGTGCTGCGGGGAGGCCCTGGTCCAGGACGAGGACCGTCTCCCCTGCCAAGCTCAACACTCCACCCTCTGCCCCGACTCGGCAGCTCTGCACATTCCAGAGCGCTGGCTGCAGCCACAAACAGGTCCAATTTAAGGACTTACAGAGCAGGGACTGTTCTGTGCCCCAGACCCCTTCCATGAGCACCTAAAAGTTACAAGGCCCTGGCCGGTTTGGCTCAGTGGATAGAGCGTTGGCCTGTGGACTCGGAGGTCCCGGGTTCGATTCTGGCCAAGGGCACATGCCTGGGTTGCAGGCTTGATCCCCAGTGGGGGGCGTGCAGGGGGCAGGTGATCAATGATTTTCATCAATGATGTTTCTATTTTCTCTCTGAAATCAATAAAAATAATTTTAACAAAATTACAAGTTACAAGGAAGTATGTAACTATAATTCACTCCCCCAAATACTGGCTTCTCTCTTGGTTTGAGAGTTACGTTGCTGACTCCTCTTCACAGAAGTCAAAGGGAGAGAGGGCTAGACGTTCCCAGGCTAAGGCTCAGTCCTCCGGTCCTGTCCCCGTGGCCCCGTGTCCGCAGCTCCAGCCCCCGGCTCAGGAGGGCTCCGCACGCTCACCTTTGAGTGCCGTCTTCAGCAGCTGCTGGGTCTCTGCATCAAAGGACTGGATCCTATACTCCTCTCTGCCAGGCTCCCCCATGGCATCGGCCCAGCGGCTCTGTACTGGGGGGTTAGTGACAGCACCTGGGAGGAGGCGAGGGGAAGGGAGGGGCCTCAGATGTGGAGGGCGAGGCCGGGACTCCCAGACTGCCGGGCTGGCCACTGCTTGGGACAGGTACTCCTGGGCAGTCCTTGGCATTTGACAGTTGGCCAAGTGCCCACCAAGCTTGGCTTCTGGTGGTGACTGGGCACCAGCCAAGCACCTGCTGTTTAGGAGCCCGTGTAGCGTCTGGGATTACATAAGAGCAAGCGAAGTGTGGAAGCGCCTACCCTCCAGTCCCAACAGGAGTGGGGTGGGTGCGCTGATACCAGGGGTGGGGGGGTGCGCTGGGCTGGGGGGGTAGGCACTTGCCTGCCCATATAAACGGGCTTGAAGTTGCCGACTACGCAAGATTCTGGGCGAATGAGAAGGCTGGGGGGTGGAGGTCTGGGGGAGAATTGGAGGTGGGGGGGAGGGGGAGGGGGGAGAGGGGGGAGGTGAGGGGGAGGGCTGAGATGGGGGAGGGGGGAGGGGTAAGGGAGGGGCGGGGGAGGGCTGGAGGTGGTGAGGGAGGGTTGGAGGGGGGAGAGGCGGGAGGGGTGGGGGGTGGGCTGGAGGTGGGGGAAAGGAGGAGGTGTGGAGGGGAGGGCGGAGGTGGGGGGGGGGGGCTGGAGGAGGGTTTAGCCAGAGCACTGTGTCCTCGGAACCCTTCCAGCCCCGGCGGGGGGCGGGCCTGAGGGGGTGGAGACTCTTCGCCCGTTAGCCTCCGGGGTGGCGGGACTCCGGCCGGCCCTCAGGACGCTGCGCCCCGCGGGCCCACTCCAGGCCGTTCCCTGGAAGACGTGCCCTCGGAGGCGGTCCCCCTGGAGCCCTGCGGACGCGGGGCCACCCCTCGTCAAGAGGACGACCTTGGGGCCCAGACCTGGCAGCTTCCCTACGCCCGGGACGCCGCTCCGGCCGGGTCCCGCAGGAGAGGGAGGCGGCTGGGCGCCGGGACCCACCTGCCCGGCCGGTGCCGCGCCCGCGAGCCCGGAGGCCGTTCGGCGGGCATGGCGCGCGCCGCCCACGTCCGCCACCGCCGGTGGGAACGGCGCCGGGCGGCGGCTTAGGTCACTTCCTACCGCGGCGCCGGGCGAGGGCGGGGCCTGCGGTGAAAGGGGCGGGACGGGGCCTGCGATGGGCGGGGCCTGCATGGGCGTGATCAGCGAGTGGGCGTGGCCTCGGTGGGCGGGACCGAGGCGGCTTCGCCCCGCAGCGCCACCTGCCGGAGCCCCGGTGACTGACCTCACCTGCGGGCCTGCCCCAGGCCCTCGGCGCGGGGAGGGGCCGGGCTGCCGGGACCCCGCCCCTCTGCCCCCGTTCTCCGCACCGGTGCGCCCCGGCCTGTCCGGGGCCAGGGCAGCTCGTGGCGCTGGGGGACCCGCTGCTCCGCCCGCAGGAAGCCCGGGCTCAGGTGCAAACCGGCCCGGAGCTTCCGCGGGCCGCGGCGTGGGAGGGGCCGGGGGCGTGGCTCGCGCCCGGGCGGCCGGTAGGAGCGGGGCGGGGGAGGGCAGAGGTGGGTCGAGGGGGGACTCGGGGGGAGGGCAGAGGTGGGTGGAGGGGGGATTCGGGGGGAGGGCAGAGGTGGGTTTAGGGATTCGGGGGGGAGGGCAGAGGTGGGTTGAGAGGGGGTACGGGGGAGGGCAGAGGTGGGGGGAGGGGTAGGTGCTGGCCGCGTTTTCCTCCACCCCCGCCCCCCAAATTAGAAGGGAAGGAAAGCCTGGAGCATTTCCCACTGCCCTCCTCTCCTGCTCCAGACACAGCCGTTACAGGTAAAGGACGTTGAAAATCAGGGGGGAAAGGATTCTCCTAGTGCCAACGTGCAACCCCTGACTGAGCAAGCCCCCGGCAGGCCGCGGCTTCCTTGGCTGTGGCTGGCAGAGGCGCGGGCCAGCAGCCGCCAGGGCCACCCCAGGTCCGCCCTGGGTGCAGGGAACGGCCTGTCCCTTGGCTCAGACTGAAGTGTTGATGGGGTCTCCTGGCGCCCAGGTTCTCCTCTCGTTAGGAGGACCGAAGCCGTCATCAGAAAACGCAGCGAAGGAAGCCGTGAGCAGGAGGTGAAGAAATATTTACTTCGATGGGATTTTGTAGAAAATACATTCAGGCCGCTCCCTCCCGTGGCGCCAGGCCCAGGACTTCAGTGCCCAAACCCCGGCGGGTGTCTGAGTGCCCTCCGGTCACAGCCTGGACCGTCATAACCCGCAGCCAAGGGCAGGCGAGCTTCAGGATTCGGGGTCCCAGCATCACGAAGGCCCAGCCGAGGCAGGGAACAGCAACAGGAGAGAAGGGGCCCAGGCTCCGGGGCCCTCCCCCCGCCAGGCCTGCTCCCAGCTGGCGCCTTCCTGAGACAGAGTGGCTGGAGCTGGAGCCGGAGGGGAGGGGGCAGGCGGGGTCCCGGCTCCCACTACAGAGCCCCCCCCCCACAGGTGGGTGCCCCCCGGGGCTGGGAGAAGGTGGCTGTTTCATAGATTCTCTTCTCTCCCCCTCCTCCCCCTAGAAGCGGGAGTTTCTCCCGCACCTGGATGGATGGGTCCTCTGCTCCTCTCCCCGGGGCATCTGTGCCCCCTCACGGGGCTGCTCACCCTCTTCCCTCTGCCCCCCATTCACCGGGCTGCGCCAGAGCGGGCCCTTCTGGGGGTGCAGAGACACACGGCCACACGCCGAGCTGAGGAAGACGCTGAGGGCAGCTGATGCTTAGCACCGGGCCCAGCTGTGCCCCGACCCACGCAGAGGGCTGCCCGGCCCCACACAGAGCCGTCCCAGGGCGGCTGGGGTCCCAGGGCAGCTGCCTTCACCCACCCGCTCCCCTCAGCACTGCCCCCCCCTCCTGCGAGGCTGCAGTGTCTGCCTTCCCCAGCCCTGCTGTGGCTGGTCCTGTGGGGGTGGGGTGGTCAGAAAGTGACCAGTTCAGCTTGGATTCCTCCACCAGAACCAGAAGCCAAGCTGCGTGAGCCCCCAGCCCATGAGGAAGTGGAATTTGGGGAAGGCGGGCACGGTGTCCGGGAGAGAAGGCGGAGGGGTGAGGTGAGGAATGCGCTTTTGGCCTCAGTGTCTATTAAACAAGCTGGAGGGAACCAGAGCTTCGGTGTGGAGACCAGACCCTGCCCCTGGCGAGTCCCAGCCTCAGGCAACCTAAGCTGCGGCCCCGGCCAGGGTCCGGGGAGCCTGCGGCGGGTGGCTGAGTGCAGCTGCTCCGTTGGACCGGGCTGGAGACGTAGAAGGCCCTGGGTCCGCCTGCTGCGGCGTCAGGGTGAGTTAACGTCTGACCGAACCCGCAGGCGCACGTTTACGATGGTGATTCTGAGTGGCCAGCGAAGGCCGTTAGACATGTCACATGGCCCCCGGCAGGAAAAAGTCCCAGCCCTGCCTTAGGCTGCGGGCCAGACGGAAGGGAGACTTCAAGCTGGACTGGAGCGGCTGGGACCCCATCACGCCCTCAGCCCCTCCCCCGTGGCCGCAGGGAGAACGCCCTGGCCCTCCCGGTGGCATCCAGGCTGTGGGTGGAGGCTGCGGCCTCCGCCTCCGGGTGCTCCGAGCTCGGACAGCCGGCCAGAGGGGCGGGGGGGGGGCCTCCGGGTGCTCCGGGCTCGGACAGCCGGCCGGAGGGGCGGGGGGGGGGCCTCCGGGTACTCCGAGCTCGGACAGCCGGCTGGAGGGGCGGGGGGGGGGCCGGGGGGGCCTCCGGGTGCTCCGGGCTCGGACAGCCGGCCGGGGGGCCGGGGGGCCTCGGTCAGCGGAGTGGCCGGTGGAGTCTCACTGCAGGAGCTGGCTCGGGGACCGCGGCCCGTGGCCGCCGCTAGCTGTCGGCCTCCCTCACGCGCTGGAAGAGGCCGCAGAAGATCTCGTACCAGAAGAACATGAGGCCCGTGGCCAGCGCGGCCTTCAGCAGGCTGGGGCTCAGGCCCTTGAAGAAGCCCCGCGCGCCCTCCTCCCGCAGCACCTGCCCCGCGCAGTCCAGCAGGCCGCGGTAGCGCCGCACCTGGGGGGGGGCACGGGTGAGGGGGCAGCACGGACCGGCTCCCTTCTTCTGCAGACACAACGCCTAGCGCGTCGCAGCTCCCACAAACGCGTGGGAATGGCTGCAAGAAGAGAGAAAGCCCTGGCCGGTGGGGCTCAGTGGATAGAGCGTCGGCCTGCGGACTGAAAGGTCCCGGGTTCGATTCCAGTCAAGGGCATGCACCTGGGTTTCAGGCACATCCCCAGTAGGGGGTGTGCGGGAGGCAGCTGATCAATGTTTCTCTCTCATGTTTCTAACTCTCTCTCCCTCTCCCTTCCTCTCTGTAAAAATAAATAAATAAATCAATAAAATATATTTTAAAAAGACAGAGAAAAAGTTAACTCCGATCTTTCTCTTCCAAGATGAAGTGGCTGGAACTCTGCGCTGGACAGAGCGCATCCCTCTGGCCCGGGCAGCTTCAGCTGCTTGTGGTTCTTAAGGACCCAGCGGCACCTCTGCCCCCACCTCACACGTGGCCCTCATTAGCTCTCAGCCTGCTCCCAGCAAAGGCTCCGTAGCTCCCAATGACCACGCCCATGCAGTGACCTGAGTCCAAGCTCTGAGGCCCAATGTTCCTTTGTTCGGAACTCAGCTTCCCTCCTGCCCCGCCCTTCTCCCCCCAGCCCCTCCACCCCGCTGGGGGCAGGGGCCAGCTCACCTGGCCGAAGCTGGCTCGGGCCTGCTCGAACCCTCCGACCTGCAGCCGCTTCTTGAAGAGGTCCAGGGGGTAGGTGAGGGTCTTGCTGATGACTCCCGCACCACTGCCACAGAGCAGGTTTTTGAGGTTCCCTGAACCGGAAATGAGGAGGGAAACGAGGAAAATGCAATGGAGGGTAGACAACGAATTCAAGGTCATGAACTCTGTCCCCATCAAACAAAAACCCACAGCCATCCTCGCTCTCCGAGGAATTTAATCCAGGAGACAGGGAACCAGACACGGCCACTCCTGGCAAGAATGACAAGGGACCGCAGACGGGACGGGTGGCGGCAGCGTGGGTGCGAGTCCCCGGTGCTCGGGGGTCCGTCCCCCCCCCGGAGGCCATGGGGCCTCAGGCTCAAGGGGAACAGGATGTCCCTCCCCCTGCACCTCCTCCCTGAGCGAAGCCAAGCAGCACACAACGCCTTGCAGGAGCTGGAAAGGTCGCCGGGGCCACCGCTGGTGTGGCCACTGCGGGTGTGGCCGGGGCTGGAAGCAGAGGGTCTGGGGGCGGCAGCCGGCGGAGCCGGGTTCTGAGCCCCCTGCTGTCTCCCTTCCGCCCGGAGACAAGGGAGGAGACGCAGCATGGGGGGGGCACCCAGCGCCCTCCGGGGGCTGCCTCACCGTTTTTCTTGCCTTCGGCGGGCGTGGCCCAGTCGTACACGCGCTTCAGGGAGCTGTAGAAGGAGAACTGGAAGCCGGCGTAGGGGAAGATGGCGATCACGGTGGGGTTCAGGCCTTTGTAGAACACCAGGGGGCCTTCGGTCCGGTACATGGTGGCCACGGCGGCCCGCAGGGTCCGGTACACCTGGAGGCACACAGGCCCCTCGAGTGAGCGGCCCCAGGGCACGGCCCCTCCTGCACACCCGGAGCGCGCTGCTCCCGCCGGGGACACAGCGGGTGGACAGGACTCCCCGCCAGGGAGGGACCGGCCCACCCGAGGGCACAGCGCGTCCTGGGAAACAGAAGGCGCGACATCCCCCGGGTGGCCGGGCGGGAGTTACGACACTGACGGCCACCAGGAAGGGCCGGGACAGGGTGTGGCTGCGCAGACAGGAGGCACCTGGGCGCTGGCAGGGCTAATCCCCGAGATCCCGCCAACCTCGGAGCAGGCGGGTCTGCGCAGGAAACGAGCAAGGCCCCGGGGCCAAGGTCACAGCACAGGTCCCTTCCACCCTGCCACACGTGCACACACACACACACACACACACACACTCACACACATACTCACACACTCAGTCACACCCACACACTCACACACACACACTCACGCACACACTCACACACACACACTCACACACATACTCACACACTCAGTCACACCCACACACTCACACACACACACACACACACACACTCACACACATACTCACACACTCAGTCACACCCACACACTCACACACACACACACACACACTCACACACATACTCACACACTCAGTCACACCCACACACACACACACACACACACTCTCACACACACACTCACACACATACTCACACACTCACACACTCAGTCACACCCACACACTCACACACACACACACTCACGCACACACTCACACACACACTCACACACACTCACACTCTCACACACTCAAACACGCACACACACACTCACACGCTCACACACACACTCACACACTCACACAGTCACACCCACACACATACTCACACACTCACACACTCAGTCACACCCACACACTCACACACACACACTCACGCACACACTCACACACGCACACTCACACACACACACTCACACTCACACTCTCACACACTCAAACACACACACACACACTCACACGCTCACACACACACTCACACACACACACTCACACACGCACACACACACTCACACGCTCACACGCACACACACCCTCACACACGCACACACTCACACACACACTCACACACTCACACAGTCACACCCACACACTCACACTCACACACACACACACTCACACACACACACACACACTCACACACACACTCTCACACACACACTCACACACACACTCTCACACACACACTCACGCACACACTCACACACGCACACTCACACACACACACTCTCACACACTCAAACACACACACACACACTCACACGCTCACACACACACACTCACACGCTCACAAGCACACACACACACACACACACACTCACACACACACACACTCACACACGCACACACACACTCACACGCTCACACGCACACACACCCTCACACACGCACACACGCACACACACACGCACACATTACTACCGTATGCCCAGGAAGCAGTACGGTGGAGGGTCTACTTCGGGGTGCGATCGCTTGCCCTCACTCAGTTCTTCCTAAAGTCTGAACGCAATCACCCCATTTCCTCGTCCCAGCCCCGGGAACACAGCGGCTCAGGGACCTCGCGCTGGGATGGACCTGGAGCCCCCGCCAGCCCCTGGAGGTGTGGCCTGGCCCCCGGAGGCCGGAGGCGAGCACAGAGCGGGCGCTGCCGGGGGACTGACCCGCCTCCTCCCTCCGTTCCGCTCGCTCGGGAAAGAGCCCCCTGGGCCGCCTCCGGTCGGTCCCTCGGCCGGCACTCACCTTGGGCTCGCCCTGCGCTGCAAAGCGGGTGCGCAGCACGTCCACGGGGTGCACGGCCAGGGTGGCCGCGCAGGCGGACAGGCCGCCGCACAGGAAGTGCACGGAGAAGTCGCGGGCGTCGTGCAGGCCGGCCCGGTGCACCAGCTCCGTCAGCATCTCAAACGACAGGAACTGCCGGGGCACACGAGAGGGTCGCCGCAAGCAGCCGAACAGACCACCTGTGACCCGCGACCCACGACCCACGACCCACGACCCAGGTGGGGCCAGTGCTCGGGACGAGGAGAGAGTCCTCCTGACATGATTTTGTGCAGCCCAGATGCCGTGACAGACTCTACTGAAGTTGAGCCAAGTACTCAACTTTTATATCGGGAAAATCCTCGCCCAGCTGGCGTGGCTCAGGGGTTGAGCGTTGACCTATGAACCAGGAGCTCACAGTAGATTCTAAGTCAGGTTGAGGGCTCCATCCCCAGAGGGGGGTGTGCAGGAGGCAGCCGATCAATGATTCTCTCATCATCATTGATGTTTCCATCTCTCTCCCTCTCCCTTCCTCTCTGAGATCAATAATAAAGATACGTTTAAAATGAAAATTCTGCTCATTATCTTAGTTTCCTGAAACCTGAGAGAAGGTGGCCGTTATGAGAGTCTCGGCCGGGGTCCCCTCCAGGGCAGCCGGCTGCAGTGGCCCTGAGAAGGCTTGTGACGGGAGAGGTGGAAATGCATTTTGGAAAATGAAAAGCCTTGTGTCACCATTGGCCAAGTCCCATTGGGAGTGTGATGCCTGGGCCGCCTCCCAGGCGCTACCCCTCATGTTGGGCGGGTGCTTGTCTCCGGGGTGCGGGCCGTGGGGGAGGGGAGGCTACGGCACAGCTCAGTCTGACTCCGTCCCTCTGCGGGTTCCGGTGAGACACGTGAGAAGTGTGATGGCCGCCTCCTGCCGCCCGACCCCGCGTCCTTGTGCTGCTGCGTTGAGCAACCTGACCCCAGGGGCCTGGCGGCTCCCCGCACCTACTTGGACAGCCCCGTAGCCGATGGAGAGGAGCTGGGCGGGGATGTGTCCCTTCCAGAAGGCGGTGGGGCCCTCCTCCCGCAGGATCTGCCTCCCGGCCTGCAGGATCCCATGGTACTTGGCGCTGGGGTCGCTGGGAGACAGGCGCTCGATCTGAAGCTGGGAAGGAAAGTGGAAAGGTCAGGACAGGAGGCGGGGCTGGAGGAGAAGGCAGGCAACGTTCTCCACAGAATCCCAGGCTTTTATTTTTTATTATTATTTCTTAAAATATATTTTATTGATTTTTTTACAGAAAGGAAGAGAGAAGGATAGGGAGCTAGAAACATCCATGAGAGAGAGACACCGACCAGTTGCCTCCTGCACAGCCCCCACTGGGGATGTGCCCACAACTAAGGTACATGCCCTTGACCAGAATCGAACCGGGGACCCTTCAGTCCGCAGGCCGACGCTCTATCCACTTAGCCACACCGGGTTCGGCAGAATCCCAGGCTTTTAGCAATGCTTTGGCGTGAGAGAGTGAGTGTGTCCTCTAGCCCGTCCCTCGCGGGGAGAAGGGGGAAGGGTACCTGGAAACGGATCTTGATGACGTCCAAGGGGCTGATCAGCGCCCGCGTGACGAGTCCGGACACAGACCCGGCCGCTGCCACCTCGAACTTGGAGATGCTTCTGTCATCGGCGTTGGGGTCATAGCCGACCATCCCTGCCTCTGGCCCGCACAACGCCCATCAGCTTCCAGCTACAGGCAGAACACAGGAGGAGACGCCAGGTCCGAGCAGCCCTCCCTGACCAGCCGTCTGGCCCGGCGCCGGCCTGGGCCGCAGCACAGGACAGAGAGAGTATCAGTACAGGTCTGGCTCTCTGCCCTGCTTGGATTTTAAAAGTTTAAGCACCGATTGCCAATTCCAGCTGATGTGAACCAAGCTGTCCCAGGCTGAGAACCGGGGCTGGAAGGGGTTTTCCACGCCAGCACGGTGCACATGGCACACACTGCATCACAGGTCTGACACGGACGCTTATCCACGCAGAGGCGGATAAATACACTGAGCCACATCCATACTATACAGCCATTGAAAGGAATGAACCAGCCCTAGGCGGTTTGGCTCAGTGGCGGACTGAAGGGTCCCGGGTTCGGTTCTGGTCAAGGGCACAGGCCTGGGCTGTGGGCTCCATCCCCAGTGCGGGCGTGCAGAAGGCAGCCAGCAAATCCATGATTCTCAGCACTGATGTTTCTCTCTGGCTCCCCCCTGGTGTCCGCGAGGTCTGCCCAGGTGTTCGGCTGAGCTCTCCGCGGATGTGCCCGCGTGTAGACACGGGGTCTAGGGTGCTTCGGGGCGTGTTTTTGCTCCCCGGGTCCGAGATGATGCCCGCGAGGTGGGCACCCGCGTGCCCAGGTGCCCCGGGTGTATGTGTGCGTGTGCGTGCGTGCGTGCGTGTGTGTGTGCGTGCGTATGTGCGTGTGTATGTATATGTGTGTGTGTTTATGTACATAAGTGTGCGTGCGTGTGTATGTGTGTATGCGTGTGTGCGTGTGTATGTGTGTATATATATGTGTGTGTTTATGTGTGTGTGTTTATGTACATAAGTGTGTGTGTGTGTGTGTGTGTGGCTTTGCCTCCCGCGTCCCCGAAGACGCTTCTCAGCTCAGGCACAACACACGTGCGTGCAGCCCCCGCCCCGCGTGAATACCTGCGCATGTGTGCTCCCTCCGGGGGGCGGCGGTGCAGGGGTCCCGACGGCGGCGACACGAGGGAGGTAGAGGTCACTCGCCCCGCTCGGAGGGCACCGCCCGGCTCTACCCGCGCCGCTCTCCTTCCTCACGCTGCCGCCTTAACAGCAAAAGTCAACTGCGCCCGGCGGTGAGTGACGGGCGCCTGGGCCAATCACCGCGCAGCTTCCGACAGACTTTGGGCCAATGTTTGGAGAGTCATCCTTCGGCTAACACCGCCCTCAAGGCGTCCCTGGGTAATGTAGTCCTTCGCTGCCAAGGCTTCCCCCGCCCCTGCGAGGCGCACAGCCTCTTGGGAGATGTAGTCCTGCAGAGCGCGCGTGCGCGGGTGTTACCCCAGCATCGGAAGGAAGCCGTTCCCAAGTCGGGCCCCCGAAGTCGCCGCGCTGAGGGCCGCGGGGGCCCCGTCAGCCCGCGGGCGGTGGGAGGTTAGGGGGCGCTGAACCTGACCCGCTTGGAAAAGATGGCGGGAAGCCAAGCAAAAACCGGGGGGAACAGGAGGAGGGAATAGGTGGGTTTTGAAGACCGGGAAGAGGACGGCAAAAATAGAGGTTTGTGTTTCTCGGAGTATTTTCTCTTTATAAAACCGTATGGACACTTTACCGAAGATGTAGAAATGAAGAGGGAAATGACTCATCCTACCGCCCTCCAGCGAGTAACGTCAGCGTTTTGCAAGACAGTATTTCTTCCTGGTTTTTAAATTGCATTTTTCACATTCGTGCAATCATTTGGACGCACAATTTTAAAACATCTTTTATATTACTACACAATATAAAACATTTCATACAGGCACAAAAGTAGAGAAAATAGCCAAATGAACTATCATATAGTCATTACTCAACAATTAACCAACTCAAGGTCAGTCTTGTGTCCTCTATACCTCTGCCGACCTCACCCCTCCCCTCCAACATTATTTTGAAGTAAATACTAGACATCCTATTATTTCACCAGTAAACATTTCAGAATGTGTCTTTAAAAGACATCCACCAAGCTATCACCCCCCCAAAAAACAATTAGAGTTTAAATTTTCCTGATTGGCCCATAAATGTCATTTCAAAAAATGTTTGGCCCTGACCGGTGTGGCCGAGTGGATAGAGCGTCAGCCTACGGACTGAAGGGTCCCAGGTTCGATTCAGGTCAAGGGCATGTACCTTGGTTGCGGGGACATCTCCAGTAGGGGGTGTGCAAGAGGCAGCTGATCGATGATTCTCTCTCATCGATGCTTCTAACTCTATCCCTCTCTCTTCCTCTCTGTAAAACAAACAAACAAACAAACAAACAAACAAAAAAAAGGGAAGGTGGTCCACAGTGAGCAGCAGCTGGAGCCGAAACTTCATTTCCTAAAAAGTGTCCCCACGGTGCCGTTCGGGCTGCCTTTGTCCTGGGGCATTTCTGCTGTTGCCCTGCTTTCCCCAGCCTCTGTGCCGACCCCGTTTTCCATTAGTTCTGTGGGCTGCCCACTGACCTCTCTTCAGCTACGGGAATCGTTGGGTCTGTTTTGTCCTCCTGGCCCCGAACAAGCCCACATGTTAGAATAGGCTCCCAGGGACCATTCACCAGAAGAGCCAGCAGGACTTCCACTTCCAGCTGCAGAGTGAGTGAGACTCAGAGGACCACAGACCCTCCGAGCTGGGAAGACTCGTGGCAGGTGCCCGTTTTCCTGGGCTTACACCTGGTTCTGGATTTTGCATATTTGAAATCTGGTCATTTCATTTTAAAGTTAAATATTCGAAGCAAATCATATCATGTGAAAAAGAGAAACAGGAAAATAACGGTTCCTGCCAGGTTAGGGAAGTGAATCCTCAGTGACCTCATCAGCATTTACCCTAAACAGACCTATTAAAAGCTCCTCCGGACTTCCCCCACCTCCTCGCTCTGCCCCTCGGGGGAGTAGAAGCCGCGTGGCCTTGACAGACGGAGTTGGCCTTCACCAGCTGCCCAAGGCGATGATCTGTGCCAGCAGAGGCAGGAGAATCTCCTGCTGCCTGAGTGGGTGGCCAGCCATGCCACCCGGAAGAGGCCCGAGAGCCAGGAGGGGGCTTGCTGTGGCTCTTTGGCAAGACACTGTGTCTCTGGGCTGCAGCTTCTCCTTCTGTAAAGGGTTGAACTTCAGGGTGTCCCTGCCCTGCGGCCTCTGTCCCTCCACAGGCATGTTTTCAGTGAACATCGCGAGGGTTCTCTCATGCAGATTAGGCCCAGCTGGCGGGGCTCAGTGCTTGAGTGTCAACCAGATCTCGGTTTGATTCCCGGTCAGGGCACATGCCGGCTCCATCCCCAGTAGGGGGCGTGCAGGAGACAGCCGATCGATGATTCTCTCCCATCATTAATGTTTCTATCGCTCCCCATCCCTTCCTCTCTGAAATCAATAAAATCAATAAAATAAAATAAAATATATTAGAAAAAAATAAAAAATAAAATAAAAATGCAGAGTAGCCCTCATCCTGACCAAACAGGTCTGGCATGTGGCCTGGGGATAAGAATGTTGGCTAGTGGCCTCTGTTTGGAAAGACACAGAGTTGGAAATGCAGTCTCCGCTGGTCTCCTCGGCTGCTCTGTTTCTTTCTCCTTCCTGGTGACTCAGGATGCGATGAAGGAGCTGTTTCCCATCATGTCTTGAGGGTCTGTGCGCCCAGACACTGTGTTAGGTGCTAGGGATGAAGCAATGAACAGATTAGAAATTCTCTCCTGCTGAAGCTGACTTCCTTCACTTGGTTCCTCCATTTTTTTCTGTGGCTCAATAGTTCCTATCTCTCTGGTGCTGAGTCATTGTGTACTGACTGGAGGAATCACAGTTTGTTTATCCATCACCTGCAGGGCATCTTGGGTGCTTCCACTTTGTAGCAACGATGAAGAAAGCTGCTCTACACGCCCAGTGCAGGTTTTCGTGTGCACGTGGTTTCCCTCACTCTTACTATTTTATTTTGAAACTCTAGGGCTCTACGTTAGAGAAAATCATGAAAAACCAACAGCCGTTGGAGGATTCTGGAGAAGTCCTGATGGCCTGCAGGCACCAAAGATAGCGACTCCTCTGATCCAGTTCCTTTCGTGGTTCTTTCAGAATAACTCAGCGAATGACTCAAACTTCAGGCAACTAACCAAGAAAAGGAGAGAGAGAGGATTTTCCGTCCAGTAATTTTCAAAAGCTGATTTCGTACCTTTCCACGTTCTTCTGTGGCTCTCCTCTGCAGAGCCCAACGCCAGGAGGCTATGGAGTGTCGATGCCAGCCCAAAGAGAAAGGTTTCCGAGTTCATAGAGGGTCTCTAGGCCTCCATCCTTCCGGCTTTCGGCATTGGTTCTCTCTGACCAAATCGTCCACCTCACCCATCACCCATTTCTGAGCTTTTCTGAGAAGGCGCTTCCTGCTGTGTCTCAGCGAAGCCAGTCTTCGCTCACCCCGAATGCACAGAGGGAGAGAGCGGGTGCAGCGCGTCACGGAGGAAGCGGCGTGCCCCGCCTGCCGCAGTCCGCGTCTCCCCCACCACTTCTGGTCCCACCAGAACCGAGGATCACTGCTTCTGGGAACCTCAAAGCTGGCTGCTACGTCAAACAATAAAACGATGAATAACCTAATGAACAAACCAGGCGAGATACTTGAGCAAACACTCCACTAGGAAAGATACCGACGGGCAATAAGCAACCGAACACCATTAGTCAAAAGGAAATGCAAATGAAAACCATGATGAGCCGAAACCGGTGTGGCTCAGTGGATAGAGCGTCGGCCTGCGGACTGAAAGGTCCCGGGTTCAATTCCGGTCAGGGGCATGTACCTTGGTTGCGGGCACATCCCCGGTAGGGGGTGTGCAAGAGGCAGCTGATTGATAACTCTCTCTCATCGATGTTTCTAACTCTCTATCTCTCTCCCTTCCTCTCTGTAAAAAAAATCAATAAAATATATTTAAAAACAAAGAAAAAAAAAGAAAACCATGATGAGACACCACCATGCATACCCACCAGACGGCTAAAATTCAAAA